AGCCGCGCCGACGGCGTCGGCAGCTCGCCCTGGGTGAGGAAGGTGTAGGCCCCGAGGATGTACGCGTCCACCGGCTTCTTCATCGTCTTGAGGAACTGCAGGAAGACCTTCGCGTCGCCGACCTTGACGGCCGCCCACGCGAAGAGCTGCCCGACGCGCCGCGCGCAGCTGCCGGGGAGGTGCAGCATCATGTGGAGCGCGCACTGCACCGTGTCCACCACGTGGGCGTTTTCTATGTGAAAGCTCAGCAACTTGGGGTCCTCGGCCTCGTCGATCTTCGCGGCCAGAAGGCGGCCCTCGCTCAGGACCTGGGTCACGGCGTCGAACTGGGATTGGCTCGGGTGGTTGAAGCCCCAGCGGCAGCGCGTGCCCTCGCAGGGCTTGTCCCGCTTGAAGTTGATTTTGCCCTTGATGAAACTACAGCACCAGTTGTCGGGGTAGCCGTTCAGGGGGCAGCTGGAGCCGCCTATACAACTACGCCGCAGCTGGTGCTCACAAGGATGACCAAAACTAAATAATTGCATCGCCATTGGGGGGTGTGGGTTTATTTTTTTTCTAGAAAAAAAAAAAACCAATAGCTAGTTAGACTTGGGTGATCGTTCGCTCTTTCTTCTTCTTTTTTTTTTTAAAGAGGTCGGAACGTGTGGGTGGATGAGATGTGCTACGAGTGAGTCCGTAGACTTACTTTATTGACTTACTTATCCTTTAGCGTTTATCCTTTTTGACTCTTATCTGGATGATAAAACAAATATAAAAATCAAATAAAGGGAATAAAATAAGGTATAAACGATACACTTCTTTGGGATTGCAAGGATAATAAAGTGAATCTCAAGCAAAAAGAGAGAGTGTCTTTGGGGAAAAAAGGGCTAAATTGTCTTCTATAGAAAGTACACTACTAAAAGGGGGTAAAATAAATAGAAGAGGGAAAAAGAAACCGATATTGAAGGTTGGAATTTTTAAAAAGGAACAATAAAATAACAAGGAATGAAGATAAATTCAAACCGCTTCCTTCATTTGTAGATGATCGTTGTTTTTTTGTTTTGCATGTTCAAACCTAATTGAGGCAGATTTTATAATAATAATAATAAAGTCTTGGAGGGAAGAGACAAAAAAAAAAATGTACTTTATGTACGAGTGTATTCTGATATCTCATGTCACTTTCGTGAAAACTAAATTCAAACAGATAAACAAGCAAAGACAGACTGTTGATACTATCAACAATCGACTCAATTCAAACCGGTCATTAGTTGAAATTGTCATACCCGTCCTTTTCACCATCTCCTTCACTAGTGAACCCTTTACATATTGACCCTTTTTCCATCTCTCAAAAGGCATCTTTGCGAAAACTATGCATTGGGGGGGGAGGGGGACTTCAAAAATCATAGCAGCGCCCGTTGACCTCCCAGTCCCCATACCGCGTGGGGTCGGGCTGCGTGCACCCGATCACCAGCCCGGTCTCCTCGTCCACGACGTTGGTGGGGATGGTCCCCGCGAGTTTGTTAAACAACGCCTCGGAGGACCCCATCGACGTCGTGAATCGCTTGATGTCCTCCTCCTTCATCGGCTGCAGGCCCGGATCCGGTTTGCCCAGGATCGCCAGCCGGTGCTCGAGGTAGGACGCGTCGTGAATGCGGGAGACGAAGGCCCCCCCCTCCGATCCGATGAGGCGGAACCCACCGCGGCGAAACATCCCGCGCTTTCGCCCAAAGCACCACAATTACCCCCTGAAGGGAATGGAATCAATTTTTATAAAAATGCGTCTGAAAGGCCGCCACTACGAATAATACCGATGGATGGAGATGTTAAATAAACCCCAATAAAAACGCTTTCTTAATACGCCGAGCCTTTCAATCGAGTGATTATTGGGGGGGTGTTATTGAATGACTATGACACGAACCCCTCCTTCAGCAATGGGCGGCGGCGATGAATTTTGGTTTGGTACTTTTCTAAATCGTTTTGCTGCTTACTTCTAATGCAATTGGGCGAAAAGGAAAAAGAAAACGAAAAAGAAAGAAGTCCAGTTTAATGTTAGATGATATCCATCAGCAAATAAAAATAGAAATACAGACGGTGCAGTGAAAGTCTGAGTACAAAGAGATGTCGCATGAAATCAAATCAACTCTTCAGAATCAATTCTATGTTACGCAAGTATGACCTGAAGTGGTAACATTAATAATCTAATTGGGTTCATTTAAGATCAAAGAACCCTGGATGCTTGCAAGTCATCCACATGTAATATGCGCCGTGATTTTATTACCAGGTACTCCATGGATTACCGGTATCAATTAAATTACTTCTCTCATTTTCATTTATTTTTGAAGGAGCATCTATCCTTACAAGGCACGCTTTTGTCAACCAATCATTGTTGGTCAGAGTAATAAAGTTTCAAAATAAAATATATATTCAAAAGGTTAGTAGTTCCTTTTTTTTGGGGGGGGGGATAGGGAGAGGTAAGAAAAGGTTGGCAAATATGCATTTTGGTGGGCGCACACGGCATTTGCACCCTCAGTTTGGATCCGTGGTTCGCTCCGTAAAGACATGGGGACCCGCGTATTAATTTGGATGCTGCCGGTGCTAATGACGGTATAGAATCCCCCCACCCTGCACGACCTCCTTTGTATTTGAAGCAAAGAGGCTGCCCACTTGCAAACAAGTACCACCGTGAAGGAAAAAAATGGAATACCGAAAAGCTAGAAACAGAAGATTCGCCAACCTCCAGTCGCTACCACGGTGAATAGAAGTACCCATCCGATACCCTTTTATCACTGTTTAATACACCCTCTTGCCAGTAAAAAATAAACTAAAATAATAATAATAATATGAAAAAGGGTTGTCATTTCCGTTTAGATATCGACTTTGAAGGGTACCGGCTGCACAAAAGTCCGCCGGAGAGACCCCGGGATCAGTCGGGCGGCCATCAGCGAGCCGTCCTTTAACCCCGCAAGCAGGACGGACGGGGCGAACTTGAGATCCAACACCGCCCACCTTCGGCGCCCGTGCAGAGGCGTTATTTCCACACGCGTGGCCTGCTGAATGAGCGGCAGATGTTGTGCGGCCTGGGCTTCCACCAGGTCGGCCGCCCCCTCGCCCTCGAGGGATTCCCCCTCCCCCCTCAAAGGAAAATTCGCCAGGCCCCCAGCCTGGGAAGTCCTGAAGTCGGCACGACCCCCTGCACGATCGAGTGCGTCACAGGCCTTCTTGGGCGACTTCGCGGAATAGCCTGGGGCGCTATCCCGACGCTGTGAAGGGGGGCGCGACGTCCTATTCGACGGCGTTGAGGGCGAGCGAGAGCGCCAACGCGTCCCGGCGCGGCTCGCCAAAGCCTCCTTCACCATCGCCATCGTAAAGAGCATGGCGAATCCGAAGGAAGTCCCGACGGCGAGGACGGGGTCGTAGGGACTCACCGCCACGACGGTAATCCGCTCCGCCGAGGCGGGATCGGTCAGGTCGGGCGCGTTGGATTCGGCCGACCGGGTGCTGCTGGCCCAGGACCGGTGAGCCGGCCTGGCCAAGGGCACCTCGCTGAGCGGCGTCAGCCGCCCCAGGCGGACTTCGTAGGCCGCCATGAAGCCCTCCACCGAGACGACCAGCACCGCGTCCAGGGAATCCAGGTAGACCGCGAACTCGGCCGTGAAGGGCAGGGCGCAGCGCACCACGATCTCCCCGACCCTCAGCGCCGTATCGATCAGCAGCATCTCGGACTGCAGCC